TTTTATAACGTATTTTTTATAACATTATTCGCGATTTCCAATTCACCAATTGCAGAATTTTATTTCATATAATTTTTTTTTGTAACAATAAAACTGTTTGCGCTTATACGAATAAATTAAAATAAATTAAAATTTATATGCATATTTTAAGTCTATTGAATTCAATTAAATAAAAAAAACCTTTTATTAAACTGGATTCAATTATATTGAAAAACAGCATTTTCTATTCAGAGATTTGAATTAAAAGATATAGAAATGTGCTTCATGCAATAAATGAATAAAAATGTATTCAGATTAAAAAGAATTTATTTTAACGTTTGTATTTAGAAATGTGTATTTCTAAAAATCTAAATCTATTTCAATCCATTTCAATCCATTCTCGTTTACTAGGATAGCGTTTTTCATTAACAGAATTGGTGCGTATGTTAAAGCTGTTATACATTACTCTAATCTGAGTGAGAATGTAAAAGTAAGATATTTCAACTAATAAAATGCCCAATGTATATTTCATCAAATAGGATGATAAAGTATATTGAAAATTTTGCAGTTTAATTCGTTTTTATATTTTTATTAAACGTACATCTTTACATTGATTTGTACAGCGGCTTTAAAGTGTGCTGAGTACGCACAATAAAAATTCTGTCAATGAAAAACGCTATTAATTTGATGAATACTTCATTTTATTTTAACATTACTATAGTCTGTGTAATGTAAATATTACATTGTTCATTGAAAAATTATTCAGCGAATTGTATATAATTGTTGTTAATTGTACATAATTTTATAATTATCAAATTATTGTATATCTTAATACTTTATATTTTTCAATATTTTCAACATATAATCTCCAAATAAAAATACATCATTTTATGATTTAGTCTATTACGTTTGAAATTTTTTATAAGATTATTATATTTAAAATTATCAACATAATTTAAAGATCTAATAATGAGATCCAACTGATTTCTGTCAAAGCTTATGAAGAACTTCCGGATAATAATAGAAGTATTGGAAAATTTCCGGATGACATTAGAAGCACTGGAAAATTTCTAAGTAAATCATTCATAGAATCATTGAAAAAAATTTCCTTGAATATAGCTATATCTTTTCTATGCATTAATGAATGCATTTTAATAGGTCACACCTAGTATACAGACACGGTAGTGTCTTAGCGCTAAGACAAGCGCAGCGACATTGCCGATTCTTTTCGCAAACAGCGAAATACATGGTACACTGGTAAGATAGATAGATACATATGTATATTGAAATTTATTTCTATATATTTATTAAGTATATAATTTTCGAAAAAACATCGATCCGAGTAATAAAAAAAGAAACAGCTCATTTTTTTATGGAAGTGACTGCGCAAATTATTAGTCAGATCATTAATATTTAATATTAACTTATTATCTTTACGTTCCATATATCCACATTTTTAATTTTTATTTAAATCTACATTTATTGTTATCAATTGGGTTCAATTATTTATGCAGATAACAATTGTATGATATGAGAAGAAATGCAATAATATGTATAAAGCCAATGGCACGCGATGCTTTGGATTGCTAGCATAAATTATTAGAATTGCACGCAGAACTCTATTTTCATAATTTATTAAAATGCAAGCAATCAAGCAAGCATATATGTATTGTATTAGATAAGATAGCTTAAGATATTCTAGCATAAATATGTTTTGAGTTACGAAGCGATATTAATAAATGAATTTAATACGCAAAATATGAATTTAATATGCAAAATATGCTTCAGCTATCTGTATCGATTAACATATATATATCTACACAGTTTTTCTAATATCCGCAGAAGTTTATGTAATAATAAATATCTGATAAAAAATACCATCAACTATAAAAGTAACATAATATAACATCAATGAGTTGTAATTTAACATTCAGTAATATAATTATTAAGTAACACACATGTGTTATATTACATTTATATTATTATATTATAAATTAAATTAAATTAAATTTTATGAATTAAATATTTTTATTCAAGTATATATTTTCAGCAAGAAATGACTCATTAAATCGATGTTGATTCGACATCGAATCAACATTTGACAGATATTTTTTATTAGGTTGTAAGTGTGAAATTATAACATTAATGTTATTTTTAATTGTTTATTATGAATACATAAGTCGATATTTATAGTCAGTCCTTATATCTAAAATTTTATGTTTTAAGACTTAATGAATTTAAGACTTTACTTCATTGTCATATAAATACAGTAAGGTATTATGAACTAATCAGAAAACAGTATTAGTATTTTAAGATATTACTTAAAACAATCTTAAAATAAGAACAGACCACGAATTTCGGTTATATGATATATGCGAGAAAATTGATTGTATATCTTGAAACGAGGTGAAAATTACAAAAGTGAATGAATATTTGCCAAAATATTTATAATTTCACATTATCTAATCAACACCTGGTGAATTTGTTCATTTTTATAATTTTCATCTCATTTCAAGATATACAATCGATCTCCCGATATTTCAATTACGGAAAATCGAATCTCCCGCCAACAGCGTGAAAGCAAATTATTACTATAAGATGGCAGCACCAGAAGCCTTCATTGAGTTCCGAACTCGTATTAGCCATCAGTCACGCAAAGCAGCAAGCGTTGCGAAGACGTAAAGATTGAAGTAGTGTTTTTTCCAGTCGACATTTCGCACGTGTTCGTGACGTTCGTGTTCGAATCACAGAGCAGAAATAGAAAGGAAAAAAGGAACATGCGTCACGTCCTGTTAGTTTTCTGACGAAACATCCGGATCATCACAGGTAATACATAATTGCCAATTTCCGTTCTCATTCCTATATTTCCGACCTCAATTTCGCGACGGATCGCCTAGAGCGACTTGCATCACGCTCGGCGAAGAAGTCGGCTCTTGTTGACTCTTGTGACGTTTCGGATGAAGAGGGGTTATACGACACCGATCTCGAGATGATGACCGACCGACCTATCCCATCGCGACGGTTCGTCATGCAAACCACGTGATCGTTTTGATCCGCGCCGCGCGATGGCCGTGAATTGTTTACCACGCGCTCGCGTGTCGCCATGGCGACGTCACGCTGTCAATCCGTGAGCACGTGGTGCGACTGCGACACTCCTAGCGCATGTCAGTCAATTTCGCGGGCGCAAAACTACCGAAAATACAGTTCGGAGATCAACTCCGTTAAGATTGATCGCGCAATATTCTTCTTGAGCTACGGGCAGTGATGCATAATTTAAAACGACCGCCAATTGAATTAATTGCCAATTAAGTTCCAATTAAGTAATTACTCCCCAGCAAACTACGTCAACTAGTTGACGTTATTTGTCATCACTTTTGTTATTTTAGATGTCATTTTGATGTCAAAATGACGATGTATAACGTCAGCATGTTTACTGAGGAGTAATTATTTAATTATCTCAATTAATGTCGTTCTTAATGATTTACTTAATTTTGTAATAAATAACAATAAATAAAGGGCAAAGTAAGAGTCAACACATTTCTTTAAAAAACACATTATCTAATTAAAAGAATCAATTACAAGTAAAGAAAAAAAAAATAAAATTAAAGAAAATATATAATAAAAAATAAAAAAAAATGAAAAATAAATAAAAACTCAGTTTAAATACAAATTACAAATTTCGGCTATCGGATTGAGCCCTCTTCAGACATTAAACATATCGAAAAAACCGTAGTACATAATAATTATCGCAAATGTTCGCATATTTATAATATTCATAATTCGGGTGAGTCTTGATGTAGAACTCGATATTATTCACGTACGATTAAACAGTCAAAAGTGTATCATATCTCTTGGAAATGTTCTAGTTGATAAAAAAAGATAAAAAGAATAAATAAAATATTTTTTCACAATTTGTACACTTTTGATTGTTCAATCGTACGTGAATAATGTCGAGTTCTACAAGACTCACTCAAATTATGAATATGCGAACATTTGCGACAATTATTATGTACTACGGTTTTTCTTTACTTGTAATTTATTCTTTTAATTAGATGACTTATTTTTTAAAGAAATGTGTTGATTCTTATTTTGCCCTTTATTTATTTTGTATATGAAGAGTCCTTCAATTTGTTAAATTAATTTTGAAATATAATTTCAAAGTAACTTAATCGATAACTATTATATATAAGACGATATAACATTTTTTAAATAGTATATTTAATTTTTTGTTTTTCGACATTTGGAAAAAAGCTAAGATTAAGGATGGCGAATTATATAGTTAGAAATTTTCCCGATTTTAACGACAGATTAATTAAGTTAATTAAAGTTGTTGGACGAAATTGCCTTTGTGTCCATTTCTACCTAATGTAAATTAACTTTAATCTCAGTTTAATTTACTTTTTATTTTTTTCTAATTCTAAAAATTAGAGGAAAAGATAAAAGGTGCATAAACCGAGATTAAAATTAATTTACATTGAAAGAAATAGATATTAGTTCAATTAATTCATATTGGCAGAAGCCAGTCGTGAAATTATAATTACAATATATTTACAGTCCTATATTCACACGTCTATGTTTCTTAATCAATATCAGATACTAAACTTTTATATTAATATAGTAATTGTATTATTATACTATTTAACCCTAATCAGTATTCGCGAATTCTGGAAGATTTTCTTTAACTACGTTGTAAAAAATTGTTTATAACAAATGTTTTTTTACAACCATACATAATTTGAAGTTACATAATCTTACCCCTCGAATTCTAATCCTTAAAATGCAAAAAATTATTTAATTATATTACCTTTAAGCAAAAATACATTAATTTAAAGTACACTGGATCGAATAGAATCAGTTAAGAAATTAAATTTCGGAGCAAATATCGATTAGGATTAATAATATTAAATAGTAAATAGTAATAAAATAATCAAAGAGAGGAGGTTTTCTTCAAATTGTTTCAAAATTTCAAATAATAACAACAAGGACTAACAACACATCTCGCAGCTTCGAAAAAATAATTCTCAAACGTTATTGTGCGAGGTCTTCGCGCTGCAGACCCGCTTGCTTTGTTCAGTTCTTCTGTTTGTTTTCCTCGGCGGCGGTTGTTGTTGTTGCTGTTGCTTTTTTTTCTTCTGCTTCTTCTTCACAACTTTCGGCTTACCCGAATCTGACGAGGCATCGTCCGACGTCGTGCTCTCGCAGAAGGCGTCGCGACGGCACGCTCGCGTTCTCGTTGTCTTCGCGACGCTCGTCTTCACCCCGACGCCGACGCAGGTGGAGGCCACCGTACCGACACCGCGAAACTTTCGACGCGACTCGAGTTTCCGCTGCGGTCGCTGTGGCTGCTTGGACACCGTCGACGTGGCCAGCAGCTTCAACGAATCCGCTTCAATCGTCAGGAGAGAGGAAGTTCTTGTGATTCTCGCATCCTTGCCCCGGGAGTTTAGGTTCACCGCCCGTTGCCAGTCAAGCTTCGCATTCTTCCTCTTGGACGGTTTCTGCCCGTCTGTTCGCGCGGATGCCTTCAATTGGGACGCATTCCGTCGCAATTTCTTCCGTGTTTTCCTCGCGTCGTCCTTGTCCGTGTCGTAGACGAGCGACTGCGGCTTCTTGGACTGCGGCCTGAAAAGACGAGGCGCCGAAAGCGTAAATTTATTATGCGTCCCACAGAAAAATGTATTCTTATCCAATAAAAAGGTCCAATCAGAATAGCGTTTTGGTAAAGCTAAACAAACTTTCTAGTTATGATAATTCTGTTTAGCCTTACTAAAATGCCGTTCTACGTTGAGTCTTTCTGGTTTAACTAGAACATTTTCCAGTGCCTCTTCACGGAGAATTTTGAAGCACATTGAATTGCGAAATCGACGCACGCGATGTAATAAACAAAAAAATTCTGGCATATACCTAATTGCAATGAAACATGCAATGAAACGAGCAGATTCTATAGATGCTGTATGCACGATAAATCGACTAGTATATCGACTCACTTTAACGTGACCTCGCCGTCCGTGGGATAGTGCATCAGAGCGTGTCTGGAGACACCCCAACTCAACGGCGTCTTAACAAATGTGTCGACGAGACGTTCCGCTTCGTTGTTCTCGTCGGCACCGGTGCTGGTCGACACGCCAGTCCAGATCTGCCGTCTCAGTGATGTGAGCTTGATTCTCACCTCTTGGCTAGTCGGCGACACCGGTGACGGATTTCTCAGCATTCTGGCAAATACAATTCGTGATTTTATGAAGAAACGCATTCTTTATGATGAACACTGTTTCGCTCCGATTAACTGTGACGATCACGAAGTGATCGAACAATCGAAAAACTGGTGAAATTAAATAGCTACTTGTAATAAATCTACAAAATAAAATAAACATTGCTCTGCAAAGGAAATCCGTTTAAAAATAAAAAAAATTTTAACAATCTTCCGAATATTACCTATTATCTGTATGAAAAAAAAATTTGCCAAAGTATCTAAAATTTAACTAGATACAAATCTGTAAATAATGTTTTTTTGGGCTATCAAAATAATTATGTAGGATACTCAAATTGATTGTTAGAATGTTAAAACATTTTGCAACATTGTCATCAAAGCTTAAGCATTCGATATAATTATTTTTATGATTAAATGTGTCATTTAATCATAAAAAAATGAGCAGCTGTCGATGAATTCTTCTTACTAACCGAAGACATCGCGGATGTTGCCGAGTCTTCCGGTTATCTTTCCGTGGTAGTAACTCTCCAAAAGATACGCTGCGAGGTCTTACAATTTCCGGTAAGATCAACGTCTTCTCCTCTTTCTCGATTGTCTGCCGTTCGGAGAGTTCGATTATCTCTTCTCGATGTTCCTGCGTACTTCTCCATACATCTGTAAGACATATACGACGTATAACATAAATCGATATAATTATTTATTTCAATTTCGTTATAAACGTACCATCATATTCTCTTCCCTCGCTTCTAACAAAACTTTCATCAGCCGAGTCGGTCAGATCACACAGATCGCTACCTGGATCTGTGGTCGGCAAATCCATCACCGCTCGTCGTGCCTATTGACAATATAATGACGATTTTTATTAAGTACAATTTAACGTCACTTTTTAGTTGCTTGCAAAAAAAAAAGAAATATAAAGAAAAAACAAATTTTAAAAGAATATAATTTTTTATTTCTCTACAATCAGTTATTACATTAAAGTTGTATTTTTAAATTAATATTGTACAAAATTTTATTGATTTAAAACATTCAAGCTTATTTTTTTTGGAAAACTTCAGTTTTTAAATTATGTTGTTGTTATAGCAAATGAACGATATATACCAGATTTTTCCTGCGCTCCAAATAAATTCTTCCCGCGATGTCCCTTCGTGCTCTTCTTCTGTAAAGACCGACACTTCTCGGTGGTACGAAGGTCGGCGACGGTGGTGGCACACAAAGATATCGACGGCGACTCGCCAAGAACTCTCCGCCCTCGCTGGACCACGTAGCATCGGTGTACTCAGTCCTACCCTCTTCCGACGAAAAACTCGCCTGTGAGATATCTCCTTCGTCGCTAGAAAAAAATTTTTAATTGTATAAATTACTTGAGATAATATAGGATAAATAAAATATGAATTATCAGAAAGGATATACCTTGAATAGTCGGTCAAATCGATATTGGTAGGCTCTTCAGCATTGGATCCCTCCTTCGCTAATCTGGCTATAATCTTATTTCGGAGTCTTTCCTGTCGAGTCAAGTTTGCGAGATCCGTCGTTTATCCTGATTCATTAGAATTACATAAATTAGAAATTTTTAAATGATATAATTTTTAAGCGCTTCTAAATTCATAGCAGAATGATAAGATTTATTTATTAAATTAATTTGATATTACTTACATGAGGAGAGAGAAGAGAGAAGAAGAAAGAGATATAAGCCCATCCGAGAAAGTGCGTGCACAAACATCGAATAGATATCGATTTGATTTTTAAAATTTTTATTTTAATTATTGTTTGTACAAGAATAAATTAAGCGACAAGTTGTTATTTGATTGCCGTCGTTTCTTTTTCCAAACAAATGCAGAAAATGTGATTAAAGTATTAATCGGATAATGTTACCTTCATGGGATCTTGATCGGAAAAGTCAAGTAGGGTCTCGCAGAATGCCTTGCCGATCTGTTCGTAATCTTGAATGGAAAAATGCGTTCCGCATCTTGAACCGATTTTAGAACCGCCCATAGAAGCCTCCATGGTATAACTGTTCTGCACGCCCATCGACCATACAACCACTCTGCCAGTACCTTCTTTCAACTTCTCAACGTGGAATTTGCAATTCTCGAAGGAGAACTGAAATCATAAAATGAAATTGCTAGTGTCACAACAATTAGCGTCAAGACTCCTGTCTACGCACCTTCAGACTAATGACAAAGAAAAGACATAATAAAACTACTTGAAAATATATTAAAATTTGCATTTGATAGAGACTTGTAAAATATACTGAAAAATCTTTTATTTTTCAGAACAGAATAAAATTATCTCTCTTAAATCTCTCAATTCAGTTTGTTTCATTTTTTGATTAGGCATAATTCAATTTCAAAGATATAATTATTTATTGATTATCGGAACACAAAGGGAATTTTCGTTATTTTACATATATATTCTATCTATTGGAAATGTTGTTTTATTAAAAAATGTTGGCAAAAATTTTTCTTCATTTTTTTCGTCTCTAATGTCATGTATGGAACAGGAGTCTTAAAAAATCACTGTGATACGAAAAATTCCCTAAATTTTCAAAAGCTATCAGTTTCACTTTAACTTGATCAAAGAATTAAAATTATAAAGAATTTAATTGTGCGATTTCCAGTAGTACCCCTCCCTCGTATGTGTGCATTTACATTACCTTATCAGCTGCGTTTTTATGAAGCATCAGCGGAAACACCTGTTCCGACAGCTTTCCATTGCATCCTGTCCTCTTGCTTTCGCAACCGTAGGCGAATATATTGTGTTTCCTCGAATGAGCGTGGAGATCGCAGTATATCGCCACCCCGCATTCCTCGAGGAGCCTCCGGATCATTAGCTTCGTATGCCAGACAGACGGGTAACTCTCTCTCATCACTGTCCTGTACTGTCGATTTAGATCCTTCCCGGACAAGGAGCACCGATTGTTACCCACTATAACGCCGTCTGGGTTCAGCATCGGCACCAACTTGAAGACGAATCTCTCTCTAAGCTCCTGCAATAATCACGCAATGTTAGATCAATTGTTAAGCCTCATAGCTGAATTTTCTCAATCACATCAAGCAAATTTCAATAATGATATTTTAATTTGACCCCTTTAAATCGCGTTATCGATACCTTTATTTTGGATCTGGAGCGATACATAGAAAGAACGATCTTGCTGAAGAGTGTAAAATTTTAATTAGATACAGATCTGAAAATAATTTGATTTTTATCATTCAAATAATTACCTATGTAGAACGCTCAAATTAGTTGCCAGAATGTTAAAACTTGCAGCATTGTCAGTAACATTTAAAAGTGTTCTACATAATTGATGATGATCCCAAATTATTTTCAAATCTGTAGCAATATAGTTAAATTTCGATATATATATATATATATCAGCAAGATATTTCTTTCCATCTAAATCTGCGAAATTGCGTCTTACTCTAGCCCGATTCGTGTCGCCGGTGAGGAAGTCGATGATACCCTTCATCGTCCAGCTCGACGGTGTCTCACCAGGATGCACCCGAGACGTGATAACGACGCCCCGCTTCCTACGCACGTCTTCGTCATGGGTCGGTGCGGTGATCGTCAAATAATACACGCCGTTTCCGGCCAGACTGCGGCACAGCAGGCGCAGTTTGGCGAACCTCGTCTTTGTGGGGTCAGCCACGATCTTACCGAGATATTCCTGGGACAGGTTTATACGGGCAATTAGAGAGGTAGATCCCGAGGAGGTAGATCTCGAGATTTAATCTACCGGCGGAACGTAATAAATACAATCGCCGAGACTGGGAATCGTTCGCGACGGTAATCGCGATAGGAGGGAACAGAACGTGAAGTACTGCTTCGTTCCGCGAGCGATACGCGTTTGTGGGAAACATTCCGCGTAATAATTACTGAAAGCATTTCTAATTCAGTCACGCTGCTTTCCTTCAGCGGCAGGAAAATAAGAATTAACGGAAATAAAGTGAGATACCAGCGTTACTTTCACAATTACTTAATTCAGTTAGTAGTGCAGTTGCTTCAACTATTATATTTTTGTAGGATCACGAGTGAACAGTGATTTTTTTTAATACCGCGTAAAAATGATTAAAGTATCTAAGATTTTGTTAGATACAAATCTGAAAATAATTTTGTTAAGTCATCAAAATAATTATGTAGGATGTTCAAACTGATTACAAAAATATCAAAACTTTTTGCAGCATTGCTCATCACGTTTGAATTTCCTAAAAATTGTTCTATTTTGATGACTCGACAAATTATTTTCAGATCTGTATCTAGCTAAATTTTTTAATTCTTTATCAAAGTCGTTTTATTCGTGACCGTTTTACCTGTAGATCGGTGTAGGTATACGGATAGCAGTGCGCCAAGTAAACGATGTCACGATCATGAGGAAATGAGATGTTAAACGTCAGCGTGTGTTTCTCCTTCTCGTCATCGCTTCTGCAATCATTTCGTGTTATTTTTTTATATCTATTTCGCGTTATATGGCATTATAATTCTCTTACGATGAGTCGTTATTTCGGTAATACGTGATGTTGTCGCCGCATCTTCTCCATCCTACGGATCGAGTTCGAGCGTCTTCAGTGGAGTATAAAAGAGGCTTGAGGCCTTCGTTATAAAGGCTCTCTTCTTTACACATATTTACGATTGAGAACCTGCAATTTTAACAGTATACTTTTCAGATTGATTTCTATGGTTTGGATTAAGAAAATAGATACACAATTGATAAAACGCAATCTTGATTACACAAATGAGACGTTAAAATACATAATCTTGATTGCGTTTTATATATTTTAAGTTTTAATTTAAATTTAACTTAAAAAATCTCTGAAATATACAAAAGAGCTAATAAAAATAGCTACTTATATTACAATTATATATTTTAACACTTTGTGTATTTTTAGATTTAATTGATAAGTTGATAAATTTTTTAATTTAAATTAATTTTTTAATTTTTCAATTTCTTGGAAGATGCACAGTTGATTGCTTTCCCTTGTCTTTTTTTAATACCTGTACGTGAGTCTGCTTCTTGTATTTGATACCCTGAAGTAGTACCACTGTGTATGCCTCTGCGTGTAGAGATCTCTTCTTAGATAGAGCTGGTAATATGTGTCGGTTATTTTTACTACTTTGCCGAGGTTTCCGGACTCAAATCGCGATTCGAACTGTAAGTCCGTATTGTCATCTTTCGGCCGGGACGCTTCGGCGACGAAGAAGATGTCATTCCCATTGGCACACGCGGTTGATTCCCCGGAGAAATCCGTGTGGAACGGTAACACTGTGCTACCGCCTACGCAAGATCGGCTAATCTGCAGAAATAATAAGCCCCCATCTTCTAAATTCTCAAACAGAAAATGTTTCTCAGTCGGCTTCGTGTTTTAACGTCCTCGAACAAACTCGAATCGATTATCGTTTTATCATTAGAACCACCGCCATCGATGATATCCGCAACAATTGCCAAAGATGCCAATTCGTTAATTTCCTATTCTTGTTTTCGGTGAAAAGTTATTTTGATGTTATTTATATCATTAAAATTATTTCCATTATATATCTTATTCGCGTTTTCAATATTTTGTACAATATATTTATTACCAAGAAAAAAATTGAAATGATTAGCGGACTCAAAATGGCACTATCAACGGTTCTGGTAATAAATGTAAGAAAAAATATATATTATATCGCGACTTACGTAATTGGTAACGTTAGTTGGGCAGTAACGAAATATCACCGTTCCAAGCTCGTCACCGATTGGTTTGGGTCTCGGTTCCTTTCCGGTTGACACGTAGAAGGCTTCCGGTGTGGCAGGGTTGTACTCTATGTGACGAATTCTTTCTGGGATCACCTGAGAGATTTTCATTTTTATCTTGATTAATTTTATATAATGATATAATTACTGTATCAACTAGCTTAACATAATAACGGAATGTGAAATAAATTAATGACATCGCATATCTCCGTAAGAAACTCCAAAGCATTTCTTATCAGAATTGTAATTCGTGTAAGAGCAATTAACATTATATACGGTGAATTAGCGATACGCGGCATTTTGTCTGCTCATCGAAATAAAACTACGGAAAAAGTGAAATGAAAAACGGTGCAGGTGCATCATTTTTCACCTGGCATTCGGTCGGCCACCTGGCCGCTTCCTGGATGCTTCCGTCGACGATGCAACGTGCATCGAGTACTGCTCGAAGGGCCTCCTTCGAGTACCGATACCTGGATAGACCCAAAGGTATCGCGAACAGTGCCGATTCCGCGTCTCGTCTTAGAGCTGAGCTCTCGTAACGTTCCAGTTGAGACACTTGTAAATCTTGCGGCGTTAGATCAGAGAGCATGCCACCTACGTTCATTAAAAAAAAAATCCATTCTTACAATTATTTTTAAAGTAAAGTTACATATTTGTAATTTTGGAAAATATAATTTATTTTTTATTTCACTTCATTTATTCATTAATGAGAAAAATAAGTTTATGATCTGATTTTTGCTCGTTAAATTAATCGAAACGATACTCGCGAGAAAATTCGAGATTTTCCATTGGAATATCCCAAGTAGCTTCTTCGTTATCTTAATTATATGCGTAAAAATATTAATGAGAAAACACAAGGCAGTTTTTCTTATAAACGAGCAACAATATAGGGAACGATTATACCGAATTAAACTACGGATTAAATTATTCGCGTGGTAATGCGCGCCATAATGAGAAGTTCGTTGAATTGGCGTTAGGTTTCGAGAGAATTAGACACGATCTTATGTTGCATACAGTAGAGGATCGATGATCGGGTACAATGTCCGTAGGTTCGCGACCTCGCCGCCACTACGGTCATATGTTGTTATGAACGTATCATATTCTCTCCACTATTTCAAAATCAATTTGATAATATGATATTGCATTTCTTCGGCATAAAACTGCATTTCAAATGCAGGAACTACTATATAGTTCAAGAGCGCAAAGGCGGAATGTATCACGGAAAGAACGATTGAAGTATTTAAAAATTTAGAGACAGATCTGAAAATAATTTTGATAGATTGTCAAAGTAATTGTGTAAGAAGTTCAAGTTGGGTTGCTAGAATATCAACACTTTTTGCAGCGTTGTTCATAATGCTTAAGCGTCCTATATAATTATCTTAATAATTCAAGAACATTATTTTCAGATTCGTGTCTTGCTAAATTTTTAGATATCTTAGCAAAATTTCTTCCCATGTATATACATATAAAATACACACAAATTATTAATCAACATAAAGTCATTTGTTTATTACAATTCACTTACAAGAAAAGTGTTTGTTGCTATAATTGCATGCATAAAATAATTACGATCAGGAGCTTAATTCTTATTACAGTTATTATTGTTAATAATAATAAAGATATTTATAGTTCTGTATGTAAAAAAGTATATAGTTGTGACATCGGAAGTGAATCTATAATATATATTTTCAGTTTATTATAGAGAATTAATTTGTTTTTCGAATAAATAGCGGTTCGAGTTTGCTGTTGATTCTATATCATCCACCAATTATCCTCGTTAGAGGAGTTCACCTGGAATGGGTTGAACCGGAAACAGCACGGCCTGGAGCTCTCTCACTCTGCTGCTCGATTGCGTCTTCATCTTTCGTTATCTCTCATCGGTCTCGTTCTCGTCCTGTTCGTCGCGATCATCAGCATCGACGGCGAGCATCGGCGATGATCTACCACCCTTAGCATTCTTGTGCCAGTCTGTGTATTCCTCCCTCGTCGGCACTTCCTCGCCGAGGAGATACTTGACAATCGGATTTTTCATTCTCACGTTCACGTTTTCGTGATCCACATGTCAAGAATCCGCACCACTTTTCGTCGGATGATTTTATATCTCCGACACTTTAAATAATCTCAGATTATACTTTTCTCTCACAATTGTGACTTATTAGAATAACTTGAAATATTATTATCGAAACAGCAAATGCGAATCTATGCAACGCTGAGCTTTATTTGTTCAACGCTCTTGTCCGTGCGAAAAGGGCGTGTCCATTTTTCCGAGAAAAATGTATATATATATATATTTAATTATCAAAGATTAATAATAAACAAATTATAAAATACGGTTTTAAAAATGGCAATGATTGTAGTTGAAATTTGTTCGAAAACTTGATCTTGTGTAAAATCCGATTACTTCAGAATAATTAACTTTAAGAATAAAATGTCACGGTATTTCTTTTTTTCTTAATACCTCAATTGTCGCCTCAATCGATCGAAGAATCGTACAAATAATATAAATAATCGAATAAATCTCAGGAGTGTACGAGAACGAGTAGAGGTTCGACACCGAGGTGAGTGCCGACGAGAGGGTGTAAGTTGTACTAGGAGCTCCGCGAAACTTGGAGGTAGATTCCTAGCGAACGCGGATTGGAACCTGGCTCGTTGTTGAAGACATTCAGTGGAACATTCCTTAGATGATTGCCTGACAACCGTCGCGAATCGTGGGCGGAGCTACCCTCGGAACGATCGTTCGTTAACCGCTCCTCGTTCGAGAAGGCCGCCGGCGCGGCTCATCGACATAATATCTTGCCGGTAACTCGACTCGTTCTATCGACGTTTTCGAAGTAAGCGACGTTCACGTGAGCGTTCGTTGATCGGAAACCGGCGACGAGTTCCGTTTAAAGCGCGATAATGGACACAATCGAGCGAAACGACCAAGAATGAATTAATCTGAGCAATAGGGAAGAGAGGCGCAGCATTGTTGATCCAAGTTTCCTTTTGTGGGTGACACTTTTGGTTAATTTTATTATGTTGACTTCACATGAGTCGTCCGTGATCAACGCCTAACTTTTAGTCAGCAATGCTTTGGTGGTTGCATGAAAAGGAGAAGATTTGCTGAAGCATCTAAAAATTTAGCCGGATACAGATTGGAAAATAATTTCGTTGGACCATCAAAATAATTATGTAGAATACTTGAACTAGTTGCTAGTTGAAAGTTAAAACTTTTTACATCGTCGACGTTTAAGTATTTCATTTATTTTGATGGTCTAACAAAATTATCAGATCTG